GAAGACGTCGGTTCGAATCCGGCTGGATCGAAGGAATTTTTCTGAGTGTTCGATCTTTGTATTGATAAATTTAACAAATCATTAATACCAATTAAAGATTCTATAGAGCCTCGTAGAATGGTGACCGCCTTAGTGCGGATTAGATGTAGAGATAGATTTATTCATTCTCTCATATTTGCATAATGTATAGAATTTTAGTAATTAGTGCCATTTTAGAAACCACGAAAAACAGTAACTGTATACAATGTCAGTTTATTAACCCTTTTTGTTTTTTTCGTTTGTTGTTTGTCGCTAGGATATTTAGAATTAAAGACCGCAAACGTCAGGCAAGACAATCTTAAGGTACGCGTACCTGCTAGCGCTAGCCGTGGAAGATGAACGTCGCGCCGTTCGTAGTCGCTCGCCAGGAGAGAGCGCGGCGCGCCGGCGCACCTCTTCTTGCTCCGCCGCCAACCGCAGGATGCGTTCGCGCATCTCGCCTTCCTCACAAATATCTGAAACATACCGGTATTTCAAACGATGTAGTCGTAGGAAAGAACTAAATGTAAGTAAGTCAGGGTACGAACAAAAAACAAATTGAAAGCTATTTCATAAAAGAAAGGTTATAAAACAAATCGTACGATGATTTTGCCTCCCTTCGGCGGAAATTCTCATTAACGTTAGTGAAGAAGAGTAATTAAGTGATTGAAAACGCTAAAAGATACAAGACAGACAAATAAATTGCTGTTTTTGCCAATATTTTTAATAATTAATGTTTTCATTACCATATTTTTGTGAAAATACTCCACTAGTTTTGTATCAATAATAACAAACCATTGGAGCTACTGGATTAACGTTTAAGAGATCATATTACCTGCTGGAGTCTCATCGTGCTTATTCCTCACGTTAAGATCAGCACCGTGATGTACCAGCAGCTCTAATACTTCCAACTGTAAATAAATAAATAAACACTTTAAATACAAACGTGAATAAATTTTATCTTTTTGGACCCCTAATGATTGAAATGCAACCCATTTTGAATTTAGTATGATGTCGAAAAACGAAGCTCTTATTTAATTAAAACTCTGGCCGCAAATTAGGAACCGTGGTGCGTTCAGCGGGGCTTTCAAAGTTTAGGCGTACATTGTGCGCAAACAACAATAACCACAACAACAACAATGCACACACTCATAGCCCCGCACATATGTGTAGACAACCACAAATTACACCCAAACTTACTAGAGAAACAAATGACCTGGAATCGAACCAAGGACTCGGCATGGCAGTCCAGCATGTTAACCGTTCGGTCACAGATGCAGTTAACGTGTGTCTTGTGTTGGATACATCCAACGCTGAACGCATCACCGTTGCGAATTTGTGGCCTTTACGAAGTCTCTCTTATAAATTGTGTTGACAGTCAGCGCTATCTTTAAAATATTAATAAAAATATTACTGGCTTAAAATATTGCTTTTAAATTGAATTACCATCGTATTTTAAAGTATATACTTACATGTCCCCAGCAAGCGGCAGCGTGTACTGGCTGCCACATATCATGATCAACAACGTCTGTCGAGGCGCGATTCTCCAACAGAAACTCCACAACCTTGGTGTATCCGTTTGCAGACGCTACATGCAGCTGAAATGTTAAATAAATGTGTACTTAATAGGTGATATTATATACTACGCTGCGTTAGCAAACTATGGTGTTTATGTGACAAAAACTAAACTCTTAGAGCGCCTTCAAAATAGACGCTTGTGGAATAGCTGCAGTGGCACGGCAGCCGCGCAGCTGTGGTGCTTCAGTAATTTTTAGGTCACTTATTGTGACTGCAGAAGTGGCGCGCGCGTGTCATGACAGTAGCACTGCAACTGCGCTTCTAAGTATTGTATGAAAATTAGTAGTTGCACTGCTGCAGGCCCACAATGGTGCTACTGCAGCGTATCTACAAGCGTCTAATTCGAAGGCGCCCTTATATTACGATCGATATAATAAGATGTCCGCCGTGACCATGGAACCTGTGAAGAGCCCGAAACGCTGATTTTTCTGCGATGTCGGGGTGCCACTAACCAGTGTTTTTTTAATTTATATTCTACATACTTATACACAAACAGGTTATACCATGAATCATGGAAAGTTGAAGGTTGTACAACACAATCATATTTAAAGTACGAGTCTCCAAACCTTAAACTAGATGAAACTACTATGAAAACTAGATAAAAAGACCAGTGTCTTAAGATTTAATTTATTTGAAAAAAAAAAAGAAAAATAATTACAAGCGAAAAATTAGTTCCTTTTCCAACGTGTAGCAATCGCGAAAACCTAAAAGAACTCGATGACATTTTAAGAATTATAATCAAAATACTAAAATATCTACTTTATCATATAAAATGATGGCTTCGAAATGTGATTTCTTTATTATTGCTTCTCTCTTAAAATTTCATTCAATCATTTTCCATTGTAAGACAGAGTGTTACCTTTCCCACAAAATTAATATTACACGAGTTGTCGTGACGAGAAAAACAACATATTTGATTCTGTAAGTCGTTTTAACACAAAAAACTTAAATCAAATGCAAAACAGTCACAGACAACCGACATAGTCGGCGAGTCAGCAAAAAGGTTTTCCAACCCAGCCCAATTTATATTATGATAATAATCAGCGAGTTCTTACCAGAGTAGCTCCTTGACTATCCCTTGGCTCATCTAAATCCATTCCAGCTTTAACTAAATCCGCGACATCCATTAACATTTTCATTTCCGTCGCCGCTCTAGTATCATCGATAAGTCTTTGCGTCACACCTCTCGCCGCCATTTCACTTTCAATAGCATCTAGGGTTCTTTCCTCTTCACAAATATCATATGGCATGTTTCCGTCTCCATTCACAGCCAGTAGGTTTGCGCCACGCTGTATTAATATTCGCACTAAGTTTAAATTGCCGCAAGTAGCTGCTGCATGTAGTGGAGTCCACTTTTCACTGTCTTCTGCGTTTACGTTTGCTCCGAAATCGAGGAGTAATCTCATCATGGCCTCGTTATTGTCGATGCAGCATTGGTGTAGCGCTGTAAGACCGTCTTCATTTGTCGCGTCTGGTGTCACACCGCGTTGAAGGAGACGGCGCACTGAAATAGATATAAATCTTGACTTTACAAGAGAGAAAATATTTTATTTTGAACCGACCATGTGTATGGAAAGGCGACATGGGTCTAGATTCCACAAAATTTGATTCAATATATATTTTTTTTATAATATCAAGTGACGGAACAAAGAAGTCGTGCGCCTGATAGTAAGGTACACGCGTGTCCATAACAGTTGCGGTGCCACTCAGAGCTTTAAATCGCAAAGATCTGAGGGGCACTGTCACTGCGCCCGTCACCTTGAGATTAAAGTTGACAAGTCCCATGTGCGTGTAATTTCACAAGCACCCTTATACCCTTCAAAACCGGAAAACAGTAACGCTGACATTACTGCTTGGTGGTAGAAATAGGTAAGGAGGCAGTACTTCCCTGGACGAATTCTTTCACAAGGAGCTCTACTGCTACTAAACTGTATTCAACAGCATTATTTCAAACGAGCAATCCCTAGAATTTCTTGTTCGTTCTACTCAGGGAAGTCAGCACCGAGCGGTAGCTTAAAAAATGACGTTGTCAAATGCAAATTTTGACTTTCACTTCACAAAGAAAAAGTTTCTCAATTCGACTCTATTTTCTGTGTGTATATTGCGCGAATACTCCAACATTTGTGACTCAATTTCGATGATTCTTTTTTTTTTGTTGGAGAGGGGGTTCCTCAGTAGTGGTCCCATTCAAATTTGAAGAAAATATTCCACCTCTAAAAGTGGCAGATTAAGGGAAGAATCCGGTTTATTGAATTTCACTCACTTGCCGTTAACCTATTTCATATTGATGTAATAGCAATGAAAATAAAATATCATGGTGACGTACGCTCATCTGTGGGGCTAGCACGATAAGGCGCGACTTGAGCGAGCGCGACATAAAGCGCGAGATACTGCTATTCTCGCATAGAAATCACGCGCTCGCTCAAATCACTCTCGCGCGAGTCGCGCCCTATTGTGCCAGCCCTACTGATGACAGAAGTGGCACACAGACGAGAGGAACAACAGTGTACAGCAGCTACTTTGTGTATCTCATTATGATTGGTTTAATTAAGCGCGGACTTCCACATGTGTGAGGAGACTGCGGCAACGAACACACCGAAGGCAGATAAATAAACTTTTGAGGTTCATGAGGAGGATTATAATTTATAATTGATGATTATATATTAGCAGCCGTACAGCTCCTTGTGGAAGAGTTCGTCCAGGGAAGTACTGCCACCTTACCTATTTCTACTGCCAAGCAGTAATGTTAGCATTACTGCGTTCCTGTTTAGAAGGGTAAGGGTGCTGGTGAAATTATAGGCACATAGGACTTGTCAACTTTATGTCTCAGGGTGACAGGCGCAGTAGCAGGGCCCCTCAGATCTTAGCGATTTAATGCTGCTGTTATGGACAGGCGTGTAGCTTACCATCAGGCCGCACGACTTGTTCATCCCTTCACTTCATATTAAAAAAATAATAATAATAAACAAACCACAGTATAGGTGTCTATAAAGACATTAACCGTGCTACGGAAGTGTCCTTAAGAGTCTATACTACCTCTGGTCGAATTCAAATTTTTCCCGTCTATAGTCGTCACAAAATAATAGATCATATTTGACACATGTCATCGCAACGTAAATAGTGATGTGAACTGCAATATCGGTAACCAGTTTAAACGATTCTCACGAGAAATCGATTAAAAATTTTAGGAGTTTGTAATCGTTTAGGTTATTTTTCTGTTCATTGCTTTTCAGTTCTAGATATATCAATCAACATTTATTTAAACGTTATACAGTTTAATAGAAATAATAAGTAAGTATTTTAAGTGAGCACAACGGCAACCTGTACTTGTTGTTGTATTGTAGTTATACATTAGCATAGTTCACGAGGATAACCTGTACGTAAATAACAAAATTCTGAAGTAAAACAAAAGACCTCCTTATTGGAATTTTTTATTTATCAACGTCATCGGAAGATGAACCAAAACCATCTGTTGAGCTAGTTTCACCAGTCCATATAATTAACTCGTTTTCAATTAAATTATCAATATTAACATCTCTGTCAAAATCTTCTTTTATTAGTTTTCTAGTTTTTTCCACCACCTTTCTCCAGTCTTCCTTTGTTACTTTAGTACATGCTTCCTTTAATAAAGTCATCATTTTTTTTGTGGAGAACGGTGGCTTAGTATTATTACGTCCTGCGTAGCCTGTAAAAAAAAAACACTGTTGTAAAATAGTAATGTTCCTTCACAGTGATATTACAAATTCGAAAGTTTATATGTTACCTCTTTACATTTGTACTTTATTAAAATATGCTACTAGTACAAAATAAGTCTTAATATATACGAATTTAAAATAACAGTATTAAATGCAAAAATATTAACCTTTAATTTGAGCCCAAATCAACTCAATAGCATTGTATTGACAGTGGTACGGCGGTGTCCTTATAATTTTATGTCCATGCTCAAGTGCCAATTCATCAATTTCATACCTAAGTTTTGTAGGTCTATGCTCTCGCACTAATCTTAACAATTCCACTTTCAATAGCTCCATGTCAGCTTCGACACCATTCCTCTGTAGCCATGCCACCAAATCAGCCTTTTTATTTGCCTGAGTCGGCGCTCGATCTATTTGAACCGAATGATACGATGCATTGTCCATAATTATTGTACATTGTTCGGGGAGGTTCTGAAGTAAAGTTTTAAACCACTCTTTAAATTTGTTTGCGTCCATTTCTTCGTGATATTCTTTTGTACTTTTTGATTCAAATGCTAGTAAAGCATTATTAACGAAACCTCCCCCGGCTGATCCAGCATGGCAAATTATGAGGCGACCACCTTTTCCCATTGGCACTTTCGAGCTGGATGCTTTAGTGTCGTCGGTCCATGATTGTGGTACTGTGTGGTTTGAGTTCAACCAAGTCTCATCGATAAACACAACATTATCCCAATTTGTAATTTTATTCATTTCTCTCAAAAATGAAACTCTTTGTAATATTAAATCATGTCTTTCCATCATAATATTTCTTTTGTCAGACTTCTTGTATTTAAAACCAATTTTTTTCAAAATTGTAATCAGTGAGGTAGCACTCCCAGTAAATAAGCCAAGCTCTCGAAGTGATACCAACAATTTACTCACAGTAGGGTACTCGTGTCTAGTATAATATGTATAAACATGGTTACGAATAGCGTCTGCATCGAACGTGTCGATACCTGTTACAGGCTTGCTTTTCTTCCTCTTTCTAGGCGTATGTAATACGTTTTCTTGAGAGCCGGAAGGCCCATATTTTTCTTGTATGATGGTGTGTACCGTTCTTTTGCCGATTCCAAGTGCACTTGCGACGCGATTTTGCACTTGTGTCACTGGTAATAGAGGTCCACCATTAAGTGACTCCCTTTCGAAATAGTCGTGTAATTTCACAACCAGTTCGCGAGTCTGGCTATTTAAAGCACGTCCTCTTTTCGACATGTTGAAAAAGAGTTCACACAGAATCAAGTCCAAAATATCCAAGCCAAGGTCAACGAGATTGAAAATAGAAGTAGTCCAAAAGCACAGCCGAGTCACAAGAAAAAACACCACGAATAACCAAGCGTACAGTCAACTTCCAAGACGGCGAAAGACTGCGCGGGCGCCGATGCAGAGTGACGCTAAATCGACATCAGTGTTGCCGTTTCAGAATTTGCGATAAAGAAAAGGAAATACAAATCTGACTTTACGGTTCTGTCTACTATAAATACTAGTATACTCAGTCTAATTTTGTAAGCACTTTAAAATTTTTGTTTTTGTAATTAAATAAGTCATTTTTTTAAGTGAAACCGATTTGACTCGATGATAGTCGGCGCGTATTGGTTACAACATTATTATTAAAAAGAATTATTTCTTTGTAGACTGAAGATGTAACTGTTTATAAGACGTTTCGGAGTAACCCAAAATTGGATTTTATTTTGGAATTCCTGCGAAAATAATACTTGAAATATGTTTCTTTCATAATGTATAGACCTTCAATAAAATTTATGTATTTTTTTAAAACCCAATAAGTTATTAATTGCTTATTTACTGTTTCGTTGATTGCATTCAACGTTACATACTATCGACTGGTTTAGCTGTCAAATATGATCTATTATTTTGTGACGACTTTAGTAATTAAATAAGTCATTTTTTTTAAAGTGAAACCGATTTGACTCGATGATAGTCGGCGCTTATTGGTTACAACACTATTATTAAAAAGAATTAGACTGAAGATGTAACTGTTTATAAGACGTTTCGGAGTAACTCAAAATTGGATTTTATTTTGGAATTCCTGCGAAAATAATACTTGAAATATGTTTCTTTCATAACGTATAGACCTTCAATAAAATTTATGTATTTTTTTAAAACCCAATAAGTTATTAATTGCTTATTTACTGTTTCGTTGATTGCATTCAAAGTTACATACTATCGACTGGTTTAGCTGTCAAATATGATCTATTATTTTGTGACGACTTTAATACGGTTCAATTTGCTTGAGTCGAGTGCCAGGGACACTGGCTTTATTACAGAATTTGTTTATTTACAAACCAAATTAAAGGCATTTGAAAAATGTATATGTGTTCTATTTAGTTCAGTTGATATAAAAAACAATAATTGGTATATGAAAAGTACCTATTGAATACAGCGGTTTTTTTGTGAAATTTCGAGGTAAGTTTGGGGTTTTTTACTATCTATGAAAACTTTTAGGAATTGTGTTTTTACACCGTATATGTACATCGTATATGTATACGTATATGTATATGTACATCCTCAATTTTACTATATATTTTTTCCAATGTGATAGATTAATCACTTTCACTGTTATGCGGAGTCAACCGAAGCCATTTTTAGTTGTATCGACACTTAATACCCCAAACACGTTACAGACTATCGGAAAAAAGGTTCTTTATAATAAATATTAATGTTTGCGCAGTTTCGTGACGAAAAGGCACAAGAGTAAAAGTACATTTCTTTATTACATTTCTGGCAAACAAATCAAGACATTGCGACCTTCCCA